AACTCTATGTTGGATTTTATCATCCAATTCTGTTCGCATAGATTGCATTGCGGCTTTCAATTCTTCCTTGTCGGCCTTCCTATCGGCCGCCGCCTTTTCCTCTCGCATGGGGGCCATCCTTTCTTGGATGGCTCTTGTCTCTGCATCATACTTTTATCGCCAGGCGTCTGCTTTCGCTTCGTTTAATTTCAAGTTGGCGTCAATTCTTGCCAGCATTTCCTCTTTGTCAGTTTTCCTATCGGCGTCTAATTTGGCCAGGAAATCTTCTCTGTCTTTCTTCCTATTGGCCTCCATTCGCTCTCGGTCGGCATCTGCTTTTACTTGGTTAGATTTCACGTTGGCATCAATTCTTGCCAACATTTCCATCATCTTTTCCATGTCCATGTTGTAGCAGTAAAATACTCGATGCACAACAATCTGTTAGTGGCGTGTTTAAGTTCGAAACACTTCTGACACCAATGTAATGTGTTTCGTTACAGGAGACGCCGTAGAGATGGTTAATTGGTTTATTTAACAATCTACAACTATCGGCTATAATTAATGATAACAATGTTACGGGTTTCCACTCTTTACAAACCCTACAACAAAAGCTCTTAACAATGTCTTCAAGAGTCTTCACGTATTAATAACGCGGGAGCTATACAAGTCTCCCTGAATTACACACTCCAAGTATAACTGTACTACAGCACTCACTAAGTCTCGAAAGCACACAATAAGTCTTCCGGTCGCTGACTCCTTAGTTATCGCACACTCGCAGGCTGCTACCTTGAGAACTGTTGATAACACACTCGGCGACTGTCACATTACAACTTGGCAGAAAGAGATGACGGCCTGGCGAGAAACGACGGAGGCGCATCTAGATAAAGAAGTAAAGACGATAGCCTACCACGAGATGGAGGTACGTCTAGAAGAGGAAACGCCGGCCACAGCGGACACAAAACCTGCGACAGCACAACAAGAAGAGGTCCCCATAGTGATACTGGTCGGAGAGACGATGGCCTACCTAGAAAAGGTGGCACGTCCAGAAGAAGAAGAGCCGACTTCAGCGAACAGGAAACCTGAGGCGGCAGAACTACGAGAGGTACCCGTACAAGACGCCGAAGTAATGCTGGTCAGAGAACCGAAGAAGAAAAGGTGCAGGGACCGCAATCGACGAAATAAGAAGAATCCGACACGGGAAAATTGCGGACCCCAGAATAAATTGGCCGTCGCCAGAAGGAAGCTGTCCCGCCGTGCAAAAGTGTCATGGCGCCGGAGAAACATCTTCAGGAAATCTTGGACCCGAGGAGATCATGCGTCCCGGATAAATTTGGCTGCCATCTGCAGGAAGATATCCC